TATTAGTTTAAGTATGGTCTTGATGGGGTAGAAAAAGTGATCAGACTTCTATAGAAGGACGGATAGACATTATTTAATAACTAAAATATAACGCAACTTTGAAGAATTGCTGAATTAGCAAAGACAAAGCACTTTTGATTTTAAATCTTGTTTCAATGTCCTTTAAATGAAACTGATTAGAATTCGGCATCGAGATATGCATAGTCACAACTCTTATGAGGGAAGGGATTCTTTATCATCACGCCAGCGCCAACCTAGGTTAAAATTCAATGGTTTTAGAATACGAGTATCACTATAAATAGAAATTTAGCGCCGAATAAATAATGATGCCTAGCTAATTGAACATTTCTAATCATAATGTTCTTTACTACAAATAACGATAGTGCAGTATAATTATTGTATCTCTACGATTTTTATATCAATATTTAGATTTTAGTAAGCGATGGGGCTATCCGTTATCTTTGATTGCATGTTCGTAGCTTGAGTTGGACAGTTAAAATTGATGTGCATTCTTTTTTAGCCATTTTTTCTTACGTGATACAAAAGAGCCAAATTTAAATTTAGCAAGACTTTGATGATGCAGTTTTGTTGCTGATTATCGAAATTACTAAGACATTTCTACATTAGGGAACTATTGTTGCGTGGCGATGGTAGCAATTTCTAGTCAGCATGATCTATACAAATGGTGATAATGCTTTCCGCTCTGCAAGATAAAAGCAAGACTCATGTTTTAAAATAATTTTAGATATTAAATCTATCAATACAGTTCTATAAAAGTCTTCTTTGTAATCCTCTAAAGAATGATATCCACGTCTAAGCTTACCGACAATTCATTATTGGTGAATACAACTTGTACGGAGAATGTTGCAAAGTATCCAATACGACGATTTAAATTGATAAAATTCACTTAAGCTCGGTGGCGTGAAAAATGGATTTATTTACTCGAAAGCTAAGCCCTTAAAAACTGATTTTCTAGACCGTATCTATAAAATATTTTCTTACAGATAGGTAACAGATGTGAATATTTCCTTGAAATAATTATAGTGGAAAAGTACTACACCTACATTTGCTTTCTACTCTAAATATCTACTTGCGTTCTAAGTTATGCTAATTTAAGTGATACTACGGTATGGTGTAATATATGAATGTTATTGCTATCATTATTTTTTTTCGTGACTGCAGGGTTAAAACTATTATCAGAAAGGATTGCGCTTGCAAAGCTTTAAAACTACCCCGACATTCAAAGTATTACAAAAAAACATTTACTATAGAATTATAGCTTATTTTAAATCACTACAAAGTTAAAGGAGTCATTGCATACAATGTAAGAAGAATGTTCACATTAGATGCCCCAGGGCTTTAAGTCATAGAGAATAGATCAAATCAATTTTATGAATGAAATTAGAATAAACTATTATAGCTCACCTCTGCTATTTTATTATATATCCATATATACGGTATCAGTAGCCTATGATTACGTAATCCTTAGAACTTCTTCATTACTAGCAGGATCTCTACTTGAAATACGTATACTGAAGAATCTGTGATGCTAAGTCAGCAGTCTCAACAGACTCATACTTTTAATACAGTATATTGACTGAGGATATCTTTACCTAACCCACAGCTAATTAGGATTTATTCTATTTTTCAATATAATGTCCGCTACGACTCCGATGCTGATTATGTATGTCTTTAAATTACTTTGAGGTATATTACAGTAGAGCTAATATGTACTGTACAGTATATGATGTCCTAACTTACCAATGATTCAGCTGAGATTTATTTCCGATTTTTCATTACTTTTATTCACCCATTACCACTACTTAATGTATTCAATAGATTCGAATAATTTGTAATTTTACCAGAGGACTATGCAATATTTTTCAGGATTAAGTGTATTATAAAAGTGTCATAGCTGTTTTCTATATCATTTTCGTTAAACTGTACAATATGTTAAATGTGCATAGGATGCAATAAAATTAGCGATAAAAGCAATTCAATATTGGCAAAAAGAATTTCGCTAATAATATCACGTTTGATTTGCAATCTTCCGAGTATTTCCTTTATCAGGTGCACTATTATATTTAAGAACCCAGACAGTGAAGCCGAATGTCACAAACCAGCTTCGTGACAAGGATAACGTAAAACAAATCTCTAAATTACTATAGTCTCCGGGATTCAGTATCCCTTAACTATCTCACTAGAATTTAGGCGCCTTTGCTTCTACGTTAAACTCAACTAGACAATTGACAATTGCTTTATTCAACTATCTGACGGGCTTATATACCTTTCTACAGCAGCTAACATTCACGAGTCATCTTATAAAAATACTTAGGTGAGAACATCTACGAACTAATTTTTTACGTTCGGACTACAACATGTCCATTCACAGAAATATTTCAGTACACATTACAGCACAGCATTACAATTACTGTAACACATTTATAATTAGAGTAATTCTTATTGTAAGTAACTAGTTGTAATGTATTATCACTATATTATATTCACCAAATTTAAATAGCTATTTCTTCACGGTAGTTCGTACCGTGATACCGAAATGTTGCAAAATCTTTTAAGAAAGTCTTGACTTTATCCATGCTATTTCATGCGTAATGAGTAACGACTATAAACTGCTAAGACTTATAGCTAGATTATTTATTTCCGTATTTAGCTACCCAAGTAAATATTATGGAATCAGCGATGATATGCAGTTACTAAAAACTCAAAATAAGGGGTTAAGCAAGTATCCTATCTGCAGTTTTAATATTTACGTCGCTACAACTAGACAGCATTTACGGTCACATTTTTGTACAATCCTACTCAGTGGCTAAATAAAGCAAGAGATGGAGAATTTAACTTAGTTTTATTTTTCTAAATATGAATTTTTATCCTATTAATGCAATCAATTAAAGTTATTGAGCCAGCGATAATTATACAAGTAACGCAAGAGAATGATCTATATCATAACTTATTTTACATCTTAGTTAGGAAGCCATAATAATGGTATACCAATGTAAAATCTAACAAACTTTACAATAAATCAAATTAGGTATGTTTACTGCTAAGTTAGAAGTAATTTCACGTCCGCTGCTTTGATTCTATTTGAAAGACAGCCGTTAAGAAGTGCAATAAAGAAGGATATTTAAAGATGCAGCAACAAAGATCAGAAGTTGATTTGCCCAAGCAAATGTTGGAGTGGCTCCGTCGGTACTAGTTGCAATTATTACTGTGGAAGGGGGTGTGGCTGGTCTTTAATTGGTTTTGTAAAAATTTTATAGCGAGATCAAGATTAATATTGTAACAATTACAACAAATAATTTTAAAAACGGTACTACATTATAAAGATTACTTAGCATTGCAGGTCATGCTTGTTGGAGGTGGGTTTACATTGAAATTTGCACACGTTGTCGGTGAAATTCCTGTACAATTTCCAGGAGCCCTAGGGTTACAGGCCACTTGAGCAGGAATATTACAACAAGCTTTTGAATAGTTGCTATTTCTAAGTTTTTGGTAAATCAAAAGATATTTTTAAACTTGTCCGGTCAAACAAAATTTCGATAATTTGGATTTTGTTATGGAATTAATCATAGATCTAAACTAACAAAGCTTTTAATTTGGTTGCCATTGTAAATGCTTTAGTGGAGATACAACCCAAATAGTTATTTCTTAAATTTCTAGGATAAAATTTCTTCTTATTAGGAGGATGTTAAGCAGTATACATTGAGCACCATAAAATTTAAAAAATTGGCATAACTGATCACGATGAAGCGAAAATAATTTATCTGCTGTTACATAGTATATGGGCTGTAGACCTACATAAACGTCACATTTCCTAATCCGGAAAAAGTCTTGTCACCAATAACTGTTAGCCGATTATTGTCTAGTAATCTTTAGATTAAGATAGTTTGGACAGCCAATAAAAATTTAAAATACTATTTGATAAAAATATACATAATGTTTTTATATATTTAATATTTTCTTATCTAAATCTTATTTAAACTGACAAAATCTGCAAGCCTGGTGTTTGGTTAAAAGCATTATCTGCGATTTTCTGAATACAATTGCTCTGAAAAATGCTGGAGAGATAATAATAAATTAAGCTAATTTCTAAAATCTGGCATGAAATTGATGCTATGCTTATCTTTTCTAACGGCAGAGACGATTTTTTAGCACAGATTGAAGATTGCAAATAACAGTGTAATATTATTCAGTTGAGTCTTAACGCTAATCCATTCTTACATATAACGGAGAGACTTCAGATTATAAAGCAAATTTTTTGAAATCATTTGTATTCGGTTATGATTTAGCGAACTAAAATTTAAAAATTAAATTAGGTTCCTATTACCCAAGTTGCTTTATTTATGGACGATAAAATATGTGACCTCATTATGAAATCATTGCAAAAAAATTGCATTGATTGTTAAAAATCTCAGCATAAATAATCGATAAATTAAAATTGAAACCCTAAAATTTCAATCCTAACAAATAAGTATTTTAAACTTACAGATCCATTAATTTGGGCATGGAACTGAAACTAGAATCCGCAATATACGAAATCAAATTAGAGCCCAGCGATCTGCCGAAAAATACATAAATTAAATGAATGCACTATTAAAATTATTAACGAATTATTTTCCTAAGGATACAAGCAATCATAACTCAAAAATTATCTATAAATTATACGCAGAAAAGATACGTTCAATATAAGATATGTCTATTTGGCGTACAGCTGCGTAAGGCTAGGTAATGATCCGAGACTCTGTTGGTTAATCGTGGTAATTTGGTTATTACTTAAGTCCCTGCAGAATTTTTTAAACCAAAGTTTGATTGAAAATCAAATGCATTAAAGTTATTTTTATGGAAATTGTTAAAGCGTTTCTAATTATTTCAATAAATACCAAATGCAGCAGAGATGCAAACTAATTTATTAGCAATATAAAGTTGTAGATTTTCTTATTATGTATAGTAATAATTTTACAAACAGAACAAAAATCTTATTCCTACAGGTTGGTCAACGAGTTAAACCCCATAAAGCAACCATTCGGAATATATGTTATTTTGTTATTAGAAAGAGACCTAAATGGCAATAAGGCATTTTAAAGATTAGTTTTCGCAATTGTATTTGGTTTCAATGAAGAAGGACTTCTACATACTGTAGCCATTAAAACGATTCGCTAACATAGTAATATTAAGCTTATCACTTAGTATAAGATGTAATTAGTCAAAACTTACAGAGACTTTAATTTCTTAATTTTGGAAAACATCCTTTGGGTAATGGTCTTAATGTTGTTATGTGTTAAATCACTATACATAGAAATAGTTGAAATGTTCTTTAAATCTTGGAGCAAAATTTCCGTTTGCTAAATAGTGCAGTACCAGCTATTTGATCATATCTGGCGTACATACATCATCAGAACATTTGGTATATTATCAAATGCCATATTTCCAACAGAAGCAATCTTGTTAAAACCTAATTCTCTAATAAGGCGTCATATTAATTAACACCATCTATTTATTAAATGTCATTTGAGTCCAGTTACCATGCTGGCAAGATATCAAGATTAATTTACAAGAATGATGGCATGAAGATCATATTGAACTGGGAGTAGATCTTCAGTAATACTTGTAAAAATGATTACGAAAATAAATAAATACTATGAATACTATCTAAAAAGTTCATTTTCTCAAGCAATATTTACTTACAATACGGTTAATTTGTGTAGATCCAACTTTGAACTATCAATTGAGGTTATGCTGTTATATTTCAAATTTCTAATTAATGTTAAATAAAAATTTGCAGAATAGTCTATTTTAATATTTAGTTCCATTAAATTCAGGTACCATGGATTTACTGGATAGATTGGATACGTTTACTGTTTTGATTTAAAATTTTACTTACAACTTGGTAAGAAGTAGGCATTGTTCAAGAGCTTTATACGGAATAGACGTTAATTTGTTGTTAAAGAGTTGCCTAACAAGAAATAAATGGAGATGATGCTTCAATGTTGTTACCGAAAGTATTCATAATCAAGAACAGTGACACAAAGATGTAAATTTTCACATCCTCATAGTATAATTTGCTTCAGATATCGGTACTATCGATTATTATACGACATCATTATGATATAGAAGCAATTATTGTAACTAGAATCAATCGATTAATCAGTTAATATCATAATCCGTACAATGTTAATAGAAATTTCATTCCAGCCAAGGCTTGATCTTGAATTGAGGAAATACTATTATTATACAGATCCCTAATGATAACATTTAAAAAATACAATTTAACTTCTGATAGCAAGCAGACAGAAAAATAAAAGAACATCAATTAAATCTGGAACACTTATTTAGGTTTTAAATTTCGTATAGCAATACAAGTCAAGTTCAATGAAGATATAAAAGAAATAAGTGCCGCCTAAACTTTTTAAGGAATGTGGGTAGTCATGTGCGATTGTTCTAAATCTGTAATAAAATATTATCATTGTCATAATTGAATACCGATAAGTAACTTTAATTTTCTGTACTATCGAGTTGGATTGAGGTACTTTAAAAGTTACTCTTGACAAACAATTATTTGCAGTCTCTTAATTAGTACATTTGCACTGGTTATAAATTTTTCAGCACTAGACTATAATATCTGCGAATTTTTTTTTTCTTTTACATTACTATTTTAATCTTCCTTAGTATTGGATAGCGTTTAGATACTTTAAATTTACTGCGGATAAAGCAGTTATTCGCAATATAATTTAAGAAGTACATGTTCTAGTTATAACTTTTGCTGCTTCAACGCTATTAATGGCAACTTACACTTTAATGAATATCTTATTCCATTGTATTAGATATTTTCTCATCGGTTTACTAAACTATAGTTAAAGCTTATATGGCAGAGTAATAAAGTAAAGTATCATTTTGACGAATGTCTACGTGCTTAATAATTTCTAGCAATTATACACAGCATTTGTCGGAGTGAATTGCCTTATATTGAATTTATCTTGTCTTTGAATAATTTTTACTGGAACAAGTTAAAAGGCTTTAAAAACAATCATAATTACTGTAATTATTAATTCAAGATAAGTTTGGCATAAGATATAATAAAATATGACATTTAAAGATTAAATTCAAAAATTATTCTTAATACAACAAATAAATAGTCCAATCATGCAAATTTAATCAATAACCTATTCAATTTGTTACATATTTACAATTTTAGTTACTATCATCAGCACGTAAAGAAGTAAAATTAACTTCATTTAAAATATTACTGTCACAAACCAGCTTCGTGACAAGGATAACGTAAAACAAATCTCTAAATTACTATAGTCTCCGGGATTCAGTATCCCTTAACTATCTCACTAGAATTTAAACGCCTTTGCTTCTACGTTAAACTCAACTAGACAATTGACAACTGCTTTATTCAACTATCTGACGGGTTTATATACCCTTCTACAGCAGCTAACATTCACGAGTCATCTTATAAAAATACTTAGGTGAGAACATCTACGAACTAATTTTTTACGTTCGGACTACAACATGTCCATTCACAGAATCATTTCAGTGCACATTAGAGCACAGCATTAAATTTACAGTAAAACATTTACAATTAGAGTAATTCTTATTGTAAGTAACTAGTTGTAATATATTATCACTATATTATATTCACCAAATTTAAATAGCTATTTCTTCACGGTAGTTCGTACCGTGACAATTACTCACAATTCTGAAAGATAATAAAGCGAATTAAACACCAGGTTTGGCAAAGTTTGTATTTTGTTGGAAGATAAATCTCTAAAAAGCAAATACAAGAGCACGAAATCATAATAAAAGTTATGTGACGATAAATACCAATTCGACGAATTGTTCAAATAATGGTACGAAAAATGGAAATAATAATTAAACTTGTGCCACTTACAATGACGATAAGGCAGACAAATTATTAAACGCACCAACTTTAATATCACTAATTAGGTTATTGCTCAAATACCTACAACAGAAAATGTAAACCAAAATAAAGATTGCATGACAAACTTGAAGAAATAAAAGCTGTCCTATATGTGCTAATCTAAAATTTAGCACTAAATAGTAACTTATCAAAGCCATTGTTTTAAAATTTATTCCTAACGACAGAAAATTAACCAAAGTAAACTAATTTATCATTTACATTTTGCTCGATGCATTCTATTTACTATATCTACAATATTTTATTTTATAGATGTAGTTGAACTAGCTGGTTTATTATAATTTTTTTGGAGAATAAATTCTAGACTAATTTGATTCAATCATCCTGCCTTCTTAGTCTCAGTTCTAATACATTTTATCGCTGTTGCCCTCTTTTAATTCGTGCAGACTTTATTAAACGCGCTCAATAAGAAGGGATCCAGAGCAGAAAGTAATCTCTAGTCTAATACTGTGAACTTGTAATTAGCTATTGATAAACAAATAGCTATCAACAACTATAAGCATTAAACTGGCCCTTAGTTTTTATGTCTGTTTTGCAATTAATCGTAATAACAACATCTCAAACATGAAAATCTGCGAAGCTTAGCTACACAGTTACTTTCTTTCCGTTAGTACTTCAGCAAGAGCCATATATGGTTGTTACAAAAAAGGTATTAACTAAACTACTACTCTGCTCTACCTGAAAAGTAACACATTCTTCCTCAATTGCTTTCATTACTATTCGTATCCTTAAAAGAGTCTTATATAATTTACTATAAAATAATATCATTATCTAAAATATTGCTCTACCTGAAAAAAATACACTCTTCTCTACATTACTATTAGTACTCACTAATGTATCTAGAAATATCCATCAGTATGAAACTGTGCCTCAGTCTGAATATCTACTTTACAATTTAAGGTAAAATAACTAGTTATATACAATCGTCTACGAAACATAGCTACGCAATTTATTTTATTACTTTTAGCACGTAACTTGCAGAAGATCTTTTATAATTTATAACAAAAATGATATCATTCAGTAAGATACTGCTACACCCTCTCAGACTTTATTATTTCTATTCTACGGTATGTCTTATAAAAATTACGGACGTTCCAAGTAGATTTCAAAATCAAATTACAGATGAGTTTATAATGTACTGTATAACTCTATGATAGCTTTAGTTCATTGATGCTAATGTATGTTAATATATACATGGAAGAAATCATTTACACTGCCGCAATTCTATTAATAACTTTCCTCTTTCATCCTTTCTTCTCTCACATAGCACTGACTACGATAACCTGGCATTAGTTAGTTCCTAGTGCATAAAACTCGTATAAGGCTTGTATTTATGTGCATTTATTAGGAGTGATGGAACGTTATTTTATTAAGGCGAGATGAGTTGCCTTAACAATGATGTGCTTGCAGTATTAGTCCAAATAGGTAAGAAATTATAATCTAATAAGCGCATATGAGTTATACTTACAAATGAAGTAAGTTTGGAAACTTGTTGAAGCTGTTAACAGGGAGAGTAGTGACGGCGGTATTAGCTAAAATGCTGTAATTTCAAGCAAAAAATCTCAATAAATAAATTATTTTGCTAAATGAATCCAATTTCAATGAATTTAATGTAATTTGATAAAATGATTATACTTACAATTTAGTAACTTTATCGTAGTTTTGTGTAGATATTGGAAGAGATGTGATTTGTGATCCAGTACAAGCTACGGTGGTTACAGGATTTCCTGTGCACTGGCACTGCACTGGACACTGAGAGAAGGCTTTAAAAATCATATGCATTTAGCAGTTAATAGCAACATCATAACTAGCTATTCTCTGTACAAGTCCCGGACAAGATTTAATGATAGGTAAACGTGTTACGAAGTTCTGATCTTATAAACTATAAAGATGAATTCACAAATAGAAAGAGATTGAAAGGATAGTTTAATGCGAGATAGCGTTAGTTTAGCTGGTAAAGTATAAGCTAATGTATAAAATGTTTACTGGTTGCGTAATTGCTGATATCGAGATGATTTTTCAACAGTGGTGTGCCAAATTAGTTAAACAAAATTTTTTTCTTTTAGAGTTATAGCTAAAGAGATAAAGTAGAGTAAGATTAAGTTTGATTCGAAAGATTAAACACCATTGATGGCCAATAATGTGCCATCTGATTATAACTGATTGTCAAAATTCACAACTAAAATTTTAAAATTTGCTAGTGCCACTACCATTCAGTTAAATATCTTAAATGAAATAAAACAATATCTGTCTGATCAAAATTTGATTAAAATGAAGACAATAAATCAGTAGATATTGCAAGAATTCAAAGTTGCTGCGTGAATTAGGATTTTAAGCTTACCTAATAATGGACAAACTGAAAGAAGTATCAAGCAAAGTATAATCGGAGCCATTTTGTAAATTAGTCGTTCAATAGTATATTTTTGTAACAATGCTGGAGTCATTATAAATACAACTAGAAACAAACAAAGTAGTTCATAAGAGTTAATATCTCTTATGATAACCGCGATTAAGAACGTTACATCAAATTAGGAATGTATCCCATATTGCTTTATTTAGTGTAAATTATGCAATTATCCGAATAGAAACGCCCTCTTTGCAAAAGCTACAGTAACACGCTATATAGAATTTCCATCAGATTATAATATTAATTAAAGGATCTAGATGCAAAATAATTAATCTTTACCAAACAATAAAGTAAACAAGAAGACATTATAATTTGACGAACGTTTACATGATAAGATAGCTTAATTTTTACTATTACTCGTCGCAGGATGATTCTAAAGCTAATCTAAAGGCTACATTCCTTATACATGTTCCATGGATATATAATGCTGCTATAAATTCTTAAAAGATTTAATGTAATTTTAGCAGATTGAAGCCCTTTTTTGATATTTTGTATTTATAATCTGTAAGACTTCGAAGGGCCAGAAAATTTTTCGTAACACGAAGTTAAACTAGGCTATTGTATCTTCTAGAACATTAAATAAACAATAGCTAAGGTTGATTGAATTGTCAATAATACAAGCTTTTTCTTCCAGATATTAACCAATAAAATCTGAGTAAATTAAAGCAAATACGTATTTATAGGATATCCTTATTTAGTTAGCAATATAGAGACTAATAAGCAGTAAATATATAAGTTAGGCGCGAAAACACGCTAGCCTTAAAATCCGACAAATAATATCATATCACACCATAAATTTGTTTTGGCCAAATCCAGCTAAATGACTTACTAAAATAGTTAATACAGAAAGTTATATGAGGTCTTCGGTTATGTAAAGCCAATAAAGATTATGTAAAAGCCAATCAGAATAATAACTTGTTTCATCTTGAAATTAAAATTTATCTTATTTCGCTTGATATAATTAGTATTCAAACATATTATGGCATTGCAAACATCGTTTCCTATTTGCTTATATGCTGACTAATTCACATAATAAATTAAGCGATAGGCTAGTATATTTCTCTTCAACTCGACTAATTTGAACTGCTGTGAGAATACCTTACGAACGTTGCATTATAAACTAATAGCCCACAAGATATTACATAGAATTTTCGCAATAGACATAGATAGTTGTTTTAATTGTATTTGTTATGCACGCGCATATTGTAACTTTGGCGAAGTCAATAAATGAAATTATTGTACTCTTTAAAATCATTGTCTTACCTAGAAAGTTGCAAAATTAAATTAAATATAAATTTCAGGTTTTAATTATTACAGATACGAAGCTTTCATAAATAATCATTAACTTAATTTATTTTCGTACAATATCCGCGAATATAGCCGGTAAAATAAGCTGATATGGCTACACAGTAATTTATATACTACCACTTCTATGCAACATCTTTGGTGCCATATATTAGTGGTGAAATAATCGATATGAGATATAATTTTATTTCTCAAATGATTTATTCAAAGAATAAAACTCAATCACAATCATTTCGAATATCATTTCTTGGCTCCTGTTTTAAGGCATATTTATGACAGCGTCAATTTAAGATGAATTTCCTAAATGAAATGGAATTGTAAATGATATCTATATCAATGGCTTGTAATTAATCAAAAATTCAAAGTAAATGCATGATTACTAAAATTTGGATAGTATAATATATAGATATCTAGTCAAAAATTGAAATGGGAGCAACTTTCCAATAGCTACACAATGTTAAGTGGAAATAATTAATCTTTTGTACTATTTTTAGTTAATTCATTCATAATATCTTGCGGGGCCATTTGTTTATAATGCAAGGTTCAGCGAAATAGTACTAGTAGACCCCATTAAATACTTGGATTTTTTCTCTTTCAATACGTTTTAAGTAGATATACAGCAGAGAGGCATCCATAATCTAATAAGATAACGAACTTCTAAATATTTCATATTCAATTCAGTGATATCTGATAATTGAACTTTCATCTTACTAATCCCCTATGAAGTAGTAATAGGTATACATAAATTATTCTCTCGAAGTCATACATTTCCTAGATACCTCAGTGATAGGATATGTCAATTTAATCTGAAAAATGACAGATATTAAAATACTCAATTCTTAATGTTACAAGTCTGCAAGAGTGTAGCTTAGCGATAAATTATATAAAACTGGGCATAAAAAATTGGAATGGCTCTGCAAATCACTGCTAATATTTCGAATGAGACAAAATTTTGAGTCAATTTCTTTTTAGTAAGTGTACAAATATATTTGAAGTAACCAAAACTTATAAATAGGATTACCGTTTAATTTCTTATATAATGTGCTTATAGATTAAAGCCAATAGCAAAATTCTTATGTCTATATTATGCCTGAAATCTATAGAAGATTAGTATGATGCAATAGTGGCATTAAGATATTCCATTTGCAATAAGCTAAACAAGCAATTTATATAATATTTGTAGTAAAATTTCATATTGTTTTATCCATTGATATAATTGATAATAATAATGAAACCTTTGGCTATAGTATTTTTAATGTTACTTCAATACGATTCCTTTTAGCACCTAGAATGCTAGTATTGTCGTGATAGCAATAATAACTTAATAGATAACGCATAGTCAAATTATAAACATGGTAACGGAAAAATATTTTCAATTTATAGAAAAAAATATATAGGCATAGGATAAACATATCCAAAAACATCCTGTTTGATATTAACTAGTACCGGTATTAAAATAATTGATTTTTAGTATTCTATGATTCTTTCATTCTAACATCCTGTTTGATATTAACTAGTACCGGTATTAAAGTAATTGATTTTTAGTATTTTATGATTCTTTCATTCTTAATGAAAATGACGTTAGCTTATCGAGATAATATCACCTAGGCTAAAAGTCATAATTTATATAAATAGCTAGAGTATGTATTCTATCAATAATATTCCTTACATATTACTGTTGAAAGATGTATAAATCATTCTTAGTCAGCTTACTACCGCTAACTTATATTGTATCCTCCAATATTTAAAAGCAGGATGCTCAATTTAAGCTTTAACTAAATATGACATAAACATTTTGTCATGATACTTTAAGAAATCCAACCATACATTATTCTGGCTACTGTAGCCAGTTAGAATCTGAAATCTTATCAATGCAAGCCAGAGAAGCTAACACCGACAAATTAGTTACTATGATATAATTAATTGCGATTACTTTACAAAATAACGAAGAAAACTCTCTTCAAAAAACCGCGTTAAGGAGATGTGAGGTATTTTTCGTACTTTATATGTCTTAAAAATTAAATAGTAAATCTTTGCTGCTTATATGTGTATGTACGTGCAACGTACATACAACGTACATATAGTAGCTTGAATACTCCTTGGCATTCTACTTTTTTATGTCATATTCTTTGTGAAACTGAAAGGGTTTATCTTAGAAAAAAGCCTGATTAAAACTATATGGCAAATTCATCAAAACAATCCTTCACACTCTTTCTGGATTATCCAGCTATAGCATCGGCTATTCTTTTCATAATTTAATTTATAACAAGCTATCATTGTTTATGATTCATCTGAAATTAAGTCTATACATTTATTTTCAAGCCATATAAGGATAATTTTTTATCATATTATAACTTTTTACAATCTAAAAGGGGTCTTCCTGTTTTAAATAGATCAACACATCAATCACCCCATATTTAACCTCATTTTTAGTTATGAAGTACAAGTTCATTTATTGAGGAAGAATTTTCAATAAATGCAAATCCATAATCAAATATTTAAGATTCTTCTTCCTTGCTGACGTTCTATAAAGGAGCAGATATATAAACAAAAATAACTGAAATACAATTTTAAGCCTAATTTTTTCGATTAGTAACTGCCAATTGAAGGGCAACAACAAAAAATTTGAATGAAACTGAAAACTAGCAATTAATTCTATATTACGGTACTTACAGCTATCTAATAGTAAGAAAATCAACTCTATTAACGAATTAACTTTTCGACTATCTCAACTTTACTTTATATAGCTATTTTGTTTTTTAAACCAGAATATTTATCTATTCGCGCGGTATCCAATAGCTGAAAGTCAAGTCGGCTAACAAAATAACTTTTCGACAATCTCAACTTTACTTTATATAGCTATTTTGTTCTTTAAAACAGAATATTTATCTATTCGTACGATATCCAATAGCTGAAAGTCAAGTCTGTTAACAAATTAACTTATCCACTATCTCAACTTCAAAGAGAGGCGAATAGTCCCTTTGGTATTTTATTCAATCAAACAGTATATTTAATACTGCTATCCAAGAGTAGTGAAGCTAAATCTGTTTAAAAATCGACTTGTTCACTATCTTGACCTTACATCAGAGAGAGACGACTTGCCATTTCAGCATTTGTTTTTTAACGATATATTTATCAACTGCTATCCAATACCAGCAAAGTCAAGTCTGTAATCAAATTAACTTGCCTGTTGTGTCAACTTTTCATCGAAGAGAGACGACTTGCCAGGTCCGTATTTATGTTCTTCAGCTATATATTTATCTACTGCTATCAAATAGCAGGATAGTCAACTCTAATAAATCAACTTGTCTACTATCTCGACTTTACTCTGAAGAGAGACAACTTGTCGCATCGGCATTTAATTTCTTAATTAAACGATACACTCATATTTATCCACTGCTATCTAATATCAGGAAAGTCGGGTCGGCTAACAAATGAACTTGTCTACTATCCTGGCCCTACTTTGAAGGGAGAAAACTTACCATATAGTTATTTTGTTCAATTTAATCATTTAATTTTCATTAAGCCTAAGATATTAATCTAACAGAATTAAATTTAGTCTTCTATGCAGTAGCTATTTTTTTCGAAATTTGTAAATTTAGGAATTGGTTTAATACATCGTTGTGATATTTTCAACTTGATATTGTCATAATTTTAAATCATTGTTTGATGTACATCAGG